AGCAGTGCATCAAGCTCGTGGGCTTGAGACTTCTGAGTCCGGATTCAGGATCTTTCAGTCCGTATGCACAGAAATGGAAATCTCCCCAGGTCACGGATGGATCTGAAAACAGTTGCTGCATACAATTCAGATACCATATCTTGGATGTCTGAGGATTTTCAATGATGAAGTATCTTCCGTGCTTCAACTGATATCGCGCAATGGATGCCACAAACTCAACCATGGGAAGATAGCGTTTCCGCTTCTCCCAGACTCTTTGTTGGATGTTCTGCATATTTGACCACGGTCCACAGACCGGTGCCATGAGGATTACATCAGGCGCCTGCTCCTTGATGATCTCCATGACCATGTGTCGTCCCTTGGATGTCATTACGTCGAATCCGGTGCGCATGTCTACAAGAGTCCTAACCTTAAGTCCTGTGAGTGCGCAGCATTGACTGAATCTGGCACTTCCTGCAAAGATCTCGAGAACGTGGATCTTTCCTTTACGTACACAATTCCAACAGGAACGGATGTGAGGTCCTCGACGAACATGTTCTCTGCCGGATGAGGTGCTGCAGGTTTGGGAGTTGTCTTTCCCGCTATACGTAATGGCGCAGGATTTTGGCTTTGGAGCGGGTGCGGATGACTCTTTCTTCTTGGTATCGGCAGAGGAGCCGGTTTGCTCCTTCTGCAAGGATTCTCGCTCTTCTGGCAATAGAAGATCAATTCCAGGTTTCCCCGGAGGGATGGTTTCATCCTTTCTGACCTTCGTCATGTTAACCTTGATGAGTCAGTCGAGTCCCAAGATCAAGTCCTACCATTGCTCCTTCAATGGAAATGACTTGCTTTTAGCCATATTCCTCCCTTGCGTCCATCGGAACGGATCTTGGATTTGTCTTCCTGCCAGTAAGATACCTTGTCCTTCACCTGAAGAGGCTTATAGGAACTCATTCAGATGTCTTTGGTGCTTGCTTCGACAGCTGTTTGATCTGAATGGCTGTCAGCTCCTCCTCATTCCTGTCAATCGTCAACTGAGTTGGTTTTGCGACATCGAGTTGGATGAGATCTGCTGGTCGTCTTCCGAATGCGAGCTCCAATGGTGTTACACCCCCGTAGGTGACAGTCTGATTCCTGACAGTTGCAGCTGCCTTCACCAGCTGTCTGTATGTCACTTTCTTCAGTGTTGCAGGTGCTGTTCCTGCCTTGATGGAACTTAGCATGATCTTGAGTTGTGCCTTCAGGAGTCGAACTGCAGCTTCAGCTCGATTTGGCCATGGTGTGTTCGGTCCCAAGGATATTGGTGTGATGTCAATGGACTGATAGAAATGTTCCCATGTCTCTGTCATGAAGGCTTGATCTGCGACAAGTGGTACTGGTCAAAATAGTTCCTGAGGACAGTGATGTTCTCAACTTCTTGCGTAGTTGTCACTGCCTCTGCAGTGAGCAATGTTGTTGCTCCATCCAGGATGACAAAAACAATGATATGTTCTCCTGTTCCAAGAGGAACTTGACAGTGATCAATGAATGTCATGTCACCAAAGGTGTCCGCTCGAAGTCCACTGGTCTTGCTTCGTGATGGTGCATGTTTTGCCGCTTGGCAAACTTCACATTCACTTCGGATTTTGTCAAACGGATCGAATGTTGATTTCGGCAAATGAAGTGAGCGAGTTCTAAATCGAAATTGATCTGTTGTCATGTGATGATGCTGGAGGTGGAGCTTCTTCAACTCTTCGGGATTTGACAATCGCTTGTGGATTCTGCCTAGTGCAAGCGGAAGCGTCGTTGGTTCTTCTGAGGATGGTGCGAAAAGATCTGGCTCAATGGTCGACCGGCCGTTCTTGTCGATGATCCTGTCTGCTGCCGATCCTGAACCTGCTTCTTCGTCCTTAAGCGAATTGTCCGCGAAGGTGAAAATGGTCTTACCTATCCACAGGTTAATCATTGGTTTGTTTGCCTGGGCTGTAAGTCTCCAATTGTCTTCTAAGATGTCTGGATCTCCACCTTCGGATGCATCTATGATTGCCGTGGTACGCTCTCGGCTGATGTTATCAGGATTGATTGGACATTCCTTGGCTCCATTTGGTGTGAACAGCCCCGAGCTGCTTGTTCTTCTTATCAAGGATCCAATGGTCCTGCTTTTGAGATCCAATGATTTTAGCAGTTGCTAGGTCCTCCTTCGTCTCGGATGACTTGGATGCACAAACAGTTTCACTCTTGGAGATATCCCCGGAGGGAAACCGGATGCTGTTGTCATCATCGTAGACGTAGTTGGTGAGGCCCTTGATTCCAATTTCTCCATGTGCTTTCACTCTTGCAACTCCAGCGAGGTCGACAAGTGCATGTCCTGCACCGGATACTGGAACTGCTTGACGGTTCATGCCAAAGGCCTTGCATGTGATCTTGTCACATTGAGGTGTGTGCTCGATGGTCATGTAGAAGTTCCGCATCTGACTGATGCTCAGGAGGATCGGTACAGTTCCTTGTTCAAGGACGTCGATGTTGGTACTGCATGGAGGAGTTGTGTGATATCGGAGATGCAAGGTCCAATTTACCTTGGCTGTTTCTCCGTTTGCAAAAGTGAACTTGGTCTCGGCCGGGATGTACTGATAGGAGATGAGGTCTTTCATGGGTTCGACGGCCTGAGTAAAACGCTGCCAGCTGCCCATAGATCTGGTACATCCATTGTCCAGAATTGCATAGGTCGGATTGTGCTGAGGGTTGATGACAGGCGCCATCAGCTTGGTTGCCAAAGGGCTGTGATCTGTTGTGACGGACAAATTGTGTTCTGAAACTGGATCTGATTGGATCAGCTTCCCGTGGATGGCCTCTTGCTCATGATGCTCATATGCGTCATGGAATGCCATTAGCGCTTGTCCTGTGCTGGATGTCTCACGGGATGAGTACCAGCCTTGTTCGTTCCATGTCCATGATTGATCCCAATCTTGGTCTGTCCAACCGGCATAGGTAGGCTCTGTGGATGGTGCAGTCTACTGGATGGCGGGCTGCTCCTCCGTCTTCTCTGCGATGGCTGCGAACGTCTTGGATTTTCCCTTGTCATGTCCGCCCTTTTTCCTTTGCCATTCTCATAGGGCGGATAACCCTTGTTTCCATCATAGGGGTATTGGAATTTTGATTTTCCTTTCCCTTCTTTCCTTTGCCTTTTCCCCAATATGCCTGGTCGTAGGGATCATAATTTTCATTGGCCATATTGGCCTTCCCGCCAGAACCGCTTTTTCTGAAGGGCTTGTTAAGCCACGTCGTTGGTGACTGCCCTTTGTATTTCCTGAGTTTCCTTTTCCTTTCTCTTTTTGAATATGAAATTCCGCCCTGACACTTTTCTTGCTATGAACGCATCGTTCTCCTCGAGGACCCAGAATGTCTCTTCATCGTTGTTTGACATGAATCCTTCAAGTCCTTCTTCATTCTCAACCCAAAAGCCTTCTTCTCCTTCGTATTCACCTTGTTCGATGATAAAGAAGGTGTTGCTTCGGTTGCCTCCTTGAGGTCGGATGGATGGATCTTGAATGGATGTCCGGGTCGTGATGAAGAGTTCATGGTAATGCGTCTTCAGCATCTCATAGGAGTAGTTCTCTAGTGAAATGTTTCTCAGTGACATTGCACTGGTCAGTCTTTCTCTCTGTTGATCTGACAACACTCTGAATGATGAAAAACTGCGAAAATGAGATTATCCCCGAAGGGAAATGCATCCCGCTGTCTGTCCTGCATTCCTGTGATATACTGTCTGAGGACTGTTGGATCATCCTCATTGAGCAGGACTGGAGGCGGTACTCAAGTACCAGCTGCTGATGTCGAGCAATTGTTCTTGCATTTGCGCCCTGCACGGACTGTCGAAATGATGGGGACTGTGCCGTGAAAACAGGCGTCAAGTCCATCCATGCTGCCTTCAATCTCATGAGAAGGATTTCGAATTTTGAGGTAAAATGAGGAACTCTTGGTTCTGCCTTGTATGATTGAAGAAACTGAGGAGCCTGTACAGATACACGTTGGTCGCACCTTTCAAAAAGTACTTCTTCAGCGTGTTCTTGAAATAGTTGACTCCTTCATCAGGATCTTGCAAAAGGTCATCTTGGAGGACTGCCTTGTACATATAGGCATCTCCTGTGGAGGACCTTGGGTGCTTCCACCGTAGTGATTGTCACCCAGTCGTCCACGAGTTCTTCATTCCTGAACCAGCTGACGTTTCCGTCGTACGATGGCGGCTGCTTGGCGGTCATCGATAAATTGAGTGTTTCCTCCGTATAGCTGGCTGGCTTTGCCATACTTGAATAGGCTTCCATGAAGCCTTCTCCATCGGATGACATTTTCCCTTGGATCTCTCTGCGGAAAACCCGCTCCGCTACCACAAATTGAGGCCCACTGCCGGGGTGCCTATCCCAGAAGGGAACTGGTACCCTGTGGTAGTAGAGGTTGTTTGTCCCTGGATCTATTCCGGAGAGAGTCCAATATGCCAATATGGAGGATTGGAGGATGGATTGTCCCTGGTGGCTTGTGTTGACTGTGATACCTGTAAAGCGGTCTGCAAGCCTTTTTATCAATGTACCATGAGTCGAGTGATGACTTGAAGGGCCTTGAGCCAACATGTCAGCGGAGTGTGTGAATAGGTCAATGTGCAACAAAAAGCAACACACCATTGGGCGGTAATTTTGGGTCTGGGCTCCAAGGACGCGCATTTCAATCCTGAGATTGGAGCAACCACGGAGTTCCTAACCTGAACGTCGGGTATCCAAAACAGCCAAACTCCAAGCGAGGTTTTTTGTTAGGGTCGACGGAATATTGGTGTCTCGTGTTTTTTTGAGAGAATATCCCTTATTTGGGGCTGGCTCAAAGGGAATCCAAAGAAAGATGAATCATTTTGGGGGTACCCCTATTTTGAGACAAGCCCATATGCAGAATCTGAACATATGTTCTTTTTCCCGTCCGATTGGGGCAGTGTCGCTCGCCTGAGCATCCACTTGGCATTCTTTGTTTGCCCTTTCCGGAAAACCATTCGACGGCAGGCGCTGATTACGGAGTGGCACCCGGACCGCGCGGGGTCCAACGCGCACGTGGCCACCAAAGTCTTTCAGTGGCTTCAGGCCAACCCTCGAGCCGGGCTTCGAGCCGAAGGATCGGCCCCTTCGGAACGCGAAATCCTCGCTTATCTCGCACCAAATGAGTTGCCATGGTTGAAACCACAACGTTTGCTACGGTATTTTTACGTTGGGGAATCGCATCAGACTGTAGGGTTTCTTAAATGTTGCAGGATTTCGTCCATCCACAGTATGCCCTGAAAGGGTTTTCCCATTTTGGTCCATACAGGTCCGAAAAGGCGACCACCTCTTATGTCCGTTTGGTCCTTTGCGCAAGTGCGTATTTAAACTCGGGTTTTCTCGGACTTGGCCCAAACCAAGTATCCCCCAAAGGAGAATCCTCAAAAAAAGACGGGGCTTTCCGGTTTCATAAAGAAACTGGGTCGGTTTCTGTTGGTCATGTTTCTCGCATTTAAAGGTGGACTGTGGCGAGCAACTGTGCTTGAGAACTGCCCCAAACAGGAAAGGTCAGCCAATTTGATCCCAACCTGATTCTTGCCTATAGTGGTTACAAATGCACATGTTGCTTTCTTCGGGACCCAAGGGTCGACAAAAGGGCCGGATCATCCCTGCGCAAGCCTCAATATTTGCACAAAAAGGGACCCTCTAGGAGACAGGGTCCTGCATGGTTTGGCCCCTTATCAAGAGAGTCAATGACTTGCCCAAAGCGAATCGACCTTTGTAACCCTCTGGTCTATGATTGGTCAAGGGAAACCTGCAAGGGCAAGTGAGGATGTTTGTGGGTGTTCTTCGAAGACTACCTAAATGGGAACGCTGCTTCATGAACGGGTTTCCTTGCTGGCTAGTGAGTTGCAACCGAACTGAACTACCCCGCAGGTGATCCGGAGGCCTCTCAGGATTACCCCTGCTTCTGTGGTACCATACCAGGATATGGACCGCAGAAGCTTTAGTCTTTGTTTCCCTTTATCAGGAAAACCAATTTTGGGTACCTAGTTTGGCCCACACCCATCTGTCCACGTTCTGAAGAGGTATTGAAACCGCCCATTTGCATTGGAGAGAAGGATTCCTGGAAAAGGAGGGTCCAAATCGCTTCAGCTGCCTTTTTCGTCTCGCGCAGGTTGTCAAGGCCTGGTATTTGGAGGACTGAGCTGTCCATTTGCTGAGAGGCATGGCCCGCCTCCCCAAATTTGTTTCTTTTGAGGTGGCCCGTTTTCAGCTTGGTTTTAAAGAGAAACTGTTAGAACACCTTGTTTTTGTTTTGGGGGGGGGTGTAGTCAAGACCAAGCTTTTCAAGCACGCAAGTTCCTTGCGACACGGAAAAACTTGATCAAGTGCTTGATGAGAACTGCGCAGAGTCGAGCTCCTGTAGAAGACTCTTCTCTGAAGAAACAAAAAAAGTGGACTAGTGCAGATTTGTCAGACTGGTGCACCTCGGCAAAAGCGATGCAAGATGACCACGAACTGATGTAGATCATCGAAGATGGTGAGCATTTGTCTGGTTCGCTTTGACAACCGTCAGAAGTTTGGAACAAGGCTTGAAGTTCCAGGGCCTTTTCTTTTTGGAAAAAAAGAGGCAGGGATTGGGAGCTGTCGGGATCCGGAATCCGAAGTTTTCCAGACGCGTGGGCCTTCACCTTTCTGTAGGGATTCCCTCCGAAAGCTGCAAACAAAAAGGTGCCCATTTTACATGTTTTTCCCGTAGAAATACGAGGAAGGGATTTGAATCCGGGTGAAACCTAATTGGCTCAGACACCTGGACCCAAAATGATCCCGCGCAACGATTCATTATTTTTTTTTGCGCAGGCATGTCAGTTGTACCATTTGGGTGTGTCTTTTTCAGCGGTATCCTTTCCTGAGGCTAAAGCAAAACCAGATGGAAGCCCTTTGCAGGTCCAACAAAACAGACACTCGTGAGTCTCGTGAGTAGGCTCAAGCCATGCACTTGCCCGCCAAGATCAAGATGGCTTTGAACACCTGTTTGGTGTTCCTTCATTTCCCTTACCAGCAGGCTTACCAGCAACAGGTCTGACTTCTTGCAGATAACTCAGATAACAAGTTCTTAGGCTCGACTGATTCATCACCTAACGGGAGCCACTTTCAGTATGTGGAGCTAAATCCTTACTAGCATGTTGCTTTAAAGTTGAATTGGATTATCCCAGAACCCGGGTGCCCATTGTTTCGAGGTCTTAGGCATAAGGACCAAGTGGCAATGGTTTGGCATTTGAAGCGACTCAAAAGTGAGAAACACCGCTCTCAGGAGAAGTGCGAAGCTCCCGGGGAGTTGCCTCCCTTGACGTCGGAGGAGCCAAAGACGGGTCCGCGCGAGAGGGGTCCCGACTCCGACGAGAGAGGTCCCCGGTTGAGGAAGACCATCGCCAGGGATTGGGCGTGTTTGGAAGCGACGGAAATTATTTTTCGCTTTTTGTTTCCACAGCCCCGGGAGAAGAAGTCGAATGAAGACCTTTTTGAGAGCATAGGTGTCCTTTTTAGGTTAGTTTGCTTAGAAATAGATGGCACTGGTTTAGATTGGTGTTATTCCATTTACCAGGACCATCTATTTTACCAAAAGGACACCTTCTTAAACTCTGAATATGGCCAAATTAGGCTGTTTTATGTGGGGGGTGGACGAATGAGCTGTTTATTTTCCGGATTTGGCTGAGAAACTCCAAATGTTTCAAAATATTTGGAAGGATCTCAATTTACCCCTGCAGCTATTGTTGGACTCTGCTGGTTTTCGGGGCATCACCCCATAAATCTTGGGGCAAGAGCCAGTTCGAGGCATCAGGTTGGTGTTGCTTGTTGCTTTGGCTCATATTCAGTAGGGGAATGCGAGGAACGATCAGTTCATGGCTCTGCTGACATGTGGCAGATTCTCTGAATACTGCACCAACCACACCCTGTCGCGCATCCCTCGCAATGGGAGGCGCATGTGAGGAACAAAGGCAAGGCTGAAGTCATGTCAGCTCTCCTAAGGAAGAAGCAGGCCATGGTGCCATTCATGTCCTGGTAGAGCTTGGCTCTGACAAGGAAGTTGGCCGCTAGAGGAACAGGCCGATGTTGTGAACTCGTCCTACCTTTCCTGTACTATCGCTCTCGGCATCTCTCCGATTCTTTGGCTTGTTTGCCCCTTGCAAGATTCGGCTCATCCACCAGGCCCAAATCAGGCTATCTACCCCCTACTCCAAATACCTTGTTTGAGGGTATCCCGTCAACCCGCGACTAAAAAGATAGGTATTTGCCATGGAAAGCCAGGTTTTTAGAAGACATCCCCAAAGAAGCGGGTATTTGGAGTAGGGGGTACTAATTCTGACTTGCCCAAAGGAAATCGACCTGCAATTCCGTCCTTTGAGTGGAGAAGCTCCTTTCAGACCTGATGAATTGGTGATTGAGCCTTGTTGTTTCCTGTTGGCTCGACAACACGAAATGACCATGGCTTGGTAACTCTGTTTTTTGTGTCCCAAGCAAAGGGAGAAAGGGGCCAGATCCCAGAAAGAGTTTGAGCTTGTCATCCTTCATTTGTTTGGAGGGTCCTTCCGGTCATCAAAACAACGGACTGAACTCACAGTCTCGTTGATCACCCTTGAATATAATAAACCCGTTAGGGTTGTCTCTTTTCTGATTGGCCATGCTTCACATGGTGCAACATTGAGTTTTAGAGCTACCTCATACTAAGGGATGTTCTTTGAAAGTCTGATAGAGGTATACCAACTTGTTCTGGAGGTGGACCACTTGGTATCCAACCCCCGCATTTTAACATACCCGTGTCATATACCGTCATATGAGCAGCGGATAATATAAGTAATGAGTCTTGGGTTCTTGCAGGTTGGATGGTTACGGTTTTGGGTAGTCTCTCGGTTTCTGGTATTATTGCCAGCCGCTATGGGTTTATCTTTTTGTTGGGCACCAATTGTTGGTTTGGTTTGAACATTGAAGACAATCCCATAGCAGGAATATGTGGCCACACGATCGACATTCGCCTGGTAAGCCTACAGTCCAAGCCCATACTGAGGGATCATGTTGCAGCAGTTGTTTTCGATGCCCCGAGGACTTCCCTCGATGTCAGCAACCTAGAGGGTGTTCTCAGCAATGGGGTATTGGGCGAAAACCTCAGCTTCGGCATCCGAAGCCGATCGGGATGGTAAAGTCCGCCAGGAGTTTGGGCCAGCGCCTGGGGAAGCCAAGGAGTACATGCATCCCTCAGGCAGTTTTTCCGACTTGGGGTTTCCTGGGACCGTTCCCGGAAGGGTCTATGGATATCCCCCCAGTAAAGTCCAGCGCAGTTCCTCGCGTCAAAAACAAGTCAGCCTTCCTTCACCTGCATTTGAAAGAAGTAGCTGTCAGGAAGCTTGGCTGGTTTCTGTTTGTTCCTTTTCCGGCCGGAAAAAAAATGCATCAAGGCCGCCTCTTGGAGGCCAAAAACTTCTTTTTTTCTTCTTCGGGTCGCCGCCTCTTGTGTGCGCTATATGTTTTGGCGCCCGGGGCCAGGATCTGACGAATGGTATTGTGTTGTCTGCAGGGATGGAACACATGGTCTGCCTGCCAGTTGCTTAAGATGCCAGTTATATGTTCCATTTAGGGTGTTTAGGGGAACTATCTGCGCTATTTGTATATTTATGTATACCACTGCTGTGGCATGTTTAGCTAGTTTTTCCAGGGAGCTTAAGCAAGAGGAAGTTGCTTGCTTTTTCTTGCTGTTCTGATCATTATTCTCATATTTGGTGAGTCGAGTCTCTTGCCAGGCTCGTGTGCTTATTGACAGATGTGTTTCGAGGATGTGTGTTTGTCATGGTCGACGGGGAAGCGCACCCTCGGGAGTTTCCGTCACTTTGGTCATGTTTTCTATTCCTCTCACCCAGGCGGTCCTTGTACTGTCCTTTTCAGTGTTGTGTTTTTGCACACGGCATGTTGGCCAACTCAAAGGCAGTTAGCATGTCCATTGTCTTCACATGTGAGGTGAGCTTATGAATGTATGAACTCATGGCCGCCTGTTTAGGGCTTGTTTTGCAGAACCAGGTTCCTTCATGGAAAATCGCTTATTTTCAGGTCGGGGTTGGCATCGTACCTCAAACTGAGCATTGGGTAGGCGGCAGTTTCCTGTTATGTGTTTTGTCCTCACACAGCGCGTCTCCGGGTCAATCCGGGATCCGAGTTGGGTCTTTATAACGGAGATTACTATGTGCTTTGCCCTACGTTGACATATGCCCTCGCGAGGACAAGTACATATACTATACATATTCACAGATACGTATAGCCCTACATGCGCACACACCCAGCGGCTTTTGCATATGCGTAAATAGGTGTATATATATATATATATGTATCTATAATCCATGCTGTTTGTTTCCATCACACTTCGCCAGGCAACCTGTTCTCCGTGTGGTGACGTCCAATCCGTGCAAGTGCCGGCCGGTCGGCTTTTCGGGATTTCGGAACTCGGCCTTGAATGTTTTCCGAGGGCTTTTCGTGTTTTACTATCGCGTTAAAACCGAGAGCGTCTTCGTCGGTCTCATGCGTTTTCGATCGCCTTTTTGGAATCAGCGGCAGGTGGTAGCCCCAACCCCGGAAACTGGGAACTCTCTTTTGATGAAAGCTGCGAAGGATGGGTTGCAATGGTTTGGTCTTTTTCGAGCCCTAGTTTAGCACCCAGGTCCAACACTATTGTTGCAATGGCGTATTGCCCTTGTCGGAATTTACATTTTGGAAAGGGGGAGCACCCACGTGACTAGATGAAGCAGCTGTTGAACTCTCGGCATCCTTGTCCTTTGAACATACAGAGACTCCCTAGTTTTAGTTTGGTTCAAGTTTTCTTACCTTTGCCATCCATTTTTCCACAAGGGCGCATAGTCCAAAACCACCAGCAAGTCCTCACTGAAAGAGAGAATCCCATCAGAGTACCTACAGGGCCTGGTCCATCCGACTGGGATGTGTTCAATGAACTGCCGGCAAAGCCTTCCGCCGGCACATGGTTTCACCCCGGCTCGGCCTACGCCCAGAGTCTGGGCTCCGTACAAGTAACCCACAAATTGCAAAGCCTAGGCATCCTTTTTAGGTTCGTTTGGATAAAACTAGATGGCACTGGTTTAGATGGGCTTGTTCCATTTACCAGTGCCATCGATTTTTCCAAAAGGCCACCTTTGTTGTAAAGTG